TTAACTTTCTTGAAATAATTTTACCTGTCATGAGATTGTTTTGGTACTTCTTGAAGCAGAAGGCGATGCAACCCTGGGAGTATTGGAGCCACCACTCGTCTTTTCGATCTACTCCATTGGGAAAGGATAGTATATTATAATTTTAGTTAACGTTAAGTGTTTGGACTACACGACGTTTGTGGAGGTGAGGGAAATCCTCCCTTTTCAAGTGACCTATCTGTGTGTTCATAACCTATTACCTTAAGGTTATGTAATCGATATAATTGATATAAAATATAATATGTGGGCCAAATACATCTAGGTTAGGATGGATAGGTAAATGTAGATTTAGGTCACTGGAAAACGAAAGGAGTTCCCACACCTTTCTAAACGTAGTAAAAAAAACTTAGCGTAGGAGGAGTCCATCAAACTAATATTGATCCACAGTTCCTTCGCAATTGTAAAATAAACAAAAACAGTAGGACGGTGTGCTATATTATTGCAAATAAAACATGAAATAATTTAATATACCTCCAGGGAACTGAATGATTGCTTGGTCTTAAAATGGTCTGGAAGCATTATTAAAATAGTCTCTAGGAAGTGTATAATCTATGGCCAATACGTAATACGTAGATGATTACTACCCATGACTAAGTGAGCACTGAGCTGGCCTACACCGTACACAGTTGTTGGTTGCAGTTGGCGTGATTGTAGCCTTACGTGAGTGTTGTTTTTATAAACATCGATACATTAGTGGTGGCTGTCGTTAGCGATAGTGGCCAGACTGCTGTGGACTGAAACCAGGGGGTAAAACACGAAGGAATTGTTTGTTACGGTAGTAGTAATCATTCTACAATGAGAAAACTTGATACTGACCTTTTATCCCATTTCTAAGTAAATTCGTGATTGATTTCGTGAGTTTTGCCTGACGACAGTTAAAGTGCGAATAGAAAAAATAAAGTCTTCCCTGGTGTTTGCACGCTTTAATGTTGAGAGGAACTAGAGGGAGTATCCGTAGTTTTGCCCTACTCTGTATATTGTCTACCGGACATTGGCCGGTGTCGGCGTTGCAGTCGGTGAGTAAAGATGCACAACGCGTAGTGTGAAGGACACGTCAGGCGATAACAGACCTGTGACGCAAACTGGACACTGGACAGTAACCAGCAGTGGTCATACGTCCGGTCTACTATACCATCTACTAGCCACCATCCACAACACAACATCTGCTATCCACCATCTACCATCCACAATCCACCATCTACCATCCACAATCCAACATCTACCATCCACAATCCAACATCTGCTATCCACCATCTACCATCCACAATCCAACATCTACCATCCACAATCCAACATCTGCTATCCACCATCTACCATTCCCAATCCAACAACTACCACCCATAATCCACAATCCACCATCTACGATAAGAGGGTACTTTAAGTCGAAATTTTTTTTACGATTCTGATGCTCGAAGTCTTGAACTTCTTATAGACTAGGAAAAGTTAAAAGATCAACCAAATTACTTCCTTTAATAGTACTTTTACTTATCTATTATCTGCCTTCATAGTTATAATATTGTTCGTTTTCTTTTTCCATTCCTGACTAGTTTATTTAATAATAATAAACAAAAGTAGAAATAATAACAGAAATTTGCGTAATATTAATAACAAATCCCATCCATTTCGACCATTTGTTTCCAGTTTTTCTTAAAGAGATCATAGATTAAAGAGTTTGTCATGGAGTTTGTTACTGTTGAACTTGTATTTTCTCATTAGTTTTTCACGCTTTGATTGTTAATGGGGGCAAATTTATTCCTATATAGTTACCAAGTAGTTAATTAAGTAATATAACTAACAGATAAACTGAAGTGCACCAGGTTTGCGTGACTCACCTCATGTCAGCCAGGAGATGCAAAACTACAAATGAGACCAGTTTATTGAATACATACAGAAATGCTAAATTTTCTTCAGACAGGTAGCTGATCAAAATATCTATTCATAAAATAAACAATATTGTGTACTTTGTTCCTCTCGTCGTGGATCATTGGTGAAATGAGTTGTCAAAGTTACGTTATATTTAACTCGCAGGTCCCAAAATGTCAGAAGTATTAACTCAACGAAAGCATTATTTTTCTTTAACATATCTTCTACTACACGCTTAAATGCAAATTATATAAAACAAATCCCATTCCATAAAAATCAGTTGTGTGTGTGTGTGTGTGCATGGATTAGTAGCGATACTGTAATTCATTTGTCAGTTTGCAACTTTTTCAACATTCCTATTTGTTTTATATGCTAATATTATAATCCAGCCTCAGATCGACCTGGTCTAGTGGTACTGTAGAATGTGGGGATTCAGCCTTCAAAGTCCCGGGTTCGAATCCCGCCAATCACCAATGGATTTTATCTCAGTGATAATGCCTCAACCCTCTTGGCCTAACATAAAGTTCATGAAGAAAGTGAAAAAAATCATCCCTAGTACACGAAGCAAGACCAATTTTACACCTGGAACGATAATGAATGAAATACTTGTTATGTTATAATTTTAGGAATTAAATGTTGTTGATAGTTTAAAAGTTGAGTTGTAATGAGCTCATTGTTTGGAATACACAAGCTCCCTGTAATAACCTCGTGAGGTCGATGTACTGAGTATCTGGGATATTTGAGGCTAAATGGCTACTAATTGCTTCTGTCGATAGCAACACCACTACCAGTAGCTATTTCGAACCTCTAAAGGATCTGTTTGTAGAACATCTTTGATTTATCTTAGTCATTTTGGACATTTCTAAAGATGCCATGGTAAAATATTGAACTCAGGCAGTACCGGTACAGTGATTACAATGTATGCGTGTGAAGAGTCTGACTAGGCGTGTAAGATTAATGTTTGTGCATTTAAGTTTATTAGTCTAGGAGTAACTTGTTCTCCTTTTGACTAATTTTCTGCCACGTTTCAGTTCTGAAAGAGGAGGCTTAAAATACCTACTTTGTATGGTCGCCATTTCAATGAAAATTAAAAGTATTAGATGAATACGGTGATAATCTCCAATTTTAACCGTGTGACCACATGTATTTGGGTAGACAAGGCTTAGTAATTTGTTCATAAACTGTTACAGTTTAATTTTTCTGCATACATTACGTCTACGAGTTTTACACGAATGTGGGTTTAGTCATGGAAAAATATATTCCTATCCTTGTCTGTGGTTTAGTGCATGCCTCCTACTTCATCTCAATATTTTTGTCCTAAGTCAGTCGAAAGGGGAAATAAATATTTATATTTCTCTAGTACAGAATTTCTTCCAAAATAACCTCCCTGTTGTAAATGAAAACACTGGTGGTTGTTTCCTCGTCGACTACTTCTATTTAACTCGTTTGTATTTAACGATAGACAATTGAAGTTTCTGAAAAGTAGTACATCGTATAACGTAAAATTCCCCTAAAGAGTTATGTAACGTAGATTCTCTATCCATTATTACCCTCTAAAAACCAAACGTAGAATCGTCTGATCCGCTTATAGCTACTACCGCTCTAAATAAGTGATTAGGATAGTCCGCGGGGAGGTTGGACAAGTGAGTGACGTGACGGCTACCGTGGAATGCGGCCCTCGCCGAGACCGGTCGTGGAATGTGGAATGCAGAAAGTAGAATGCAGCGATCAGCGAACTGGGAACTGAGGTGAATGACGGCAAACACTTGAGTAGGCCAGGCGTAGGTGCGAGTCCAGCAAACACATGTAGTGAACAGTGAGTATTGTTATACGGACGTGTCGGCCTTTACTGGATAGTGGAGATGAGTGCGAGTGTTGTCAAGCGTTTGACCATAGAACGTGATCATGCAGTAATGTACAATACCTGCGCTAACTGACGTGCAGGCGATTGAGTTTGAATTTCCTCTTATTAGTTCCAGCCTCTGAACTCTAGAACCCACTAAATAGTTTCTTTATTTTCGTGTGCGTATTTTTACCAAAGAAAATTTTGAACACGAACATTTGTTGAAATCGTCGACCAGATTGACTAAATGACATATCTTTATTATGTTGAGATTTGATTTATTTAACCGTAGCTCACAAATTCGGCGTACACAGTAGGCGAAGGAGTGATTGGTTATGGTGATTTGATTTAGCTTTGACAAGCACGAATGAATCATAAAATTGCATTAACAAGAGCCTGCGAATTTAATGATTGGGTACTGGGTAAATTTGTCTGTCATAATCTAATAAGAATGCGAAACAATACATGGAAGGCTGTTAAAGGACTTAAAAGTCGGAGTTAGAAACCTGGTATATGATAGATGTAGCCTCAAGTAGCAAAAATTATTTTCAATTTAACAAACTCTTGTTTTTATTTCTATTATATTCTGTTTACTTACTGACAAAAGCGGTGCGTTTACGCTTTTTCTCGTAATACTGCAGTAAAAACAGTCGTTTTGTATACTCGCATTTCGGGTCTAGAGTACCATTTAGGGAGTAAAGGAGTAAAACACCCATTTTGTCCAATGTCGTAAACCATTTTAAATTTCGATTGCAGCAATCGCATGTATAGAAATTATTTATCGATTTAATTATTAGGTTAGGTTTTAGCTTAGGGTTGCTCGCTCATTTCCCGATCTCGGCTTCGCCTCGATCGTAAAACTTGTTAAAGGGCCACCGATGAAATATACTACATCGTTAAAGCTGGGTTTTCCTAAGCGCGGAATCGGCGAGCGGAGAGAGGAACGCGGAGAGCGGACTCCACTTGTCTTAGGCAATTTAATGTTACTGTTTTCCTAGAAGCGGAGCGGAATGCCATGTTAATTTCAATTCCGCTCTCCGCGTTCCTCTCTCCGTATTTATGTATGCAGTATAATATAGCTGTACAACTTTATAATTTTTAGTTAGTCTCGTTTGAAAAAATACAGTTGCGGGGGATTACATTGCTTTGTTTGACTTTTAATGGCTAAAGAAGCCGCCCTATTCTCCGTACCTGATTGATGTTGTTGGTATTTATTGTTTACCCTGTATTTATTTGTTGTTCTGTTGTGTTGCAGCTCCTGTCGGTTAGCAGAGCGTCTGAGCAAGTATGAATGAGTTGGATAGTCTACGACAGGAAGCAGAAACATTAAAAAATGCCATCCGAGTAAGTCAAACTCCTACTTGTATCTTGTATCATAGATAAAAGGAGCATAGACAGAATGTATATGTTTGTAATGACAGGAGTATGTCTACTTCTCTTAATCTATGCTTGTGTGATTAATTAATCTTAACACGTTGCCAAATCACAACCATTTTGTACCTTTAGGGTATTTTAATATGTACTATTGTGTACATTATAGGCACGATTTCAAATATAATGGATGATATTTAAAAAAATCCATTCGAGTGTTTTGATTTTAAAGTTATCTATAAATGATATTCAGAATATAGAATGTTTACGATAAAATACATCATATTTTAATAGGTACAGTACAACCCATTAGCGGTGTTATAAGAAAAATTACCGTTTTAAATACATTCTCTGTAGTGAGAGATGTTTGTGTTTTTTACATTTTTGTGACGCCTAGTGCTCTTTTTTTGTAAAACGTTTGAACGTTTACTGTCGTCGGTTATTCCGGTTTGTGTGCTGTACTCTTTATTGGTATATTTTAAAACGATCGATTAGAGGGGTATTTTGTTATCAAAGCAGAGTGTGACCTGTAGCATTGTAGCGTGTAACGACCACGACCGACGACTGACTGGCGCCACTGGGTACAAACACACGCATCGCAATAAAACTATATGAAGTGACATGCTTGCAATTAACAATACTATAAATATAGAGTTTGCTTTTAAGAAATATTTCACCAAGTCGTAGGTATGTAGCAATATAAATGCGTTTGATTTCCCAGAGTTACTTCCAGAATATTCTCGTGTTTTAAAGTGGTTCTTGCCGTAGTCCGTATTAACCGTGTGGACAACCAACAGTAAACAACCGGGACCCCGACACTTGTTCGCTTTACGGTCACCAGAAACCAAAAAGTCCGTTCGAATGAGTGTTGTACCGTACCCTAAAATCGGTATGGGTTTTATTTATCTAAAAAGTTTTCTGTCACAATTTTAATAGCCTTGATAAGCGTATGGGCAATTCCTAATGCCATTATATGTTTGGGTTCAAAAGCAATTAACTGGACTTATTTATTCCTAAATAAACATCTTCTTGATCAGTGCTTATGGTCAGTTAATGTTTTTGGAAGGGAAACAATGTAACATCTAGGTCTACTTAAAAAAAAATTGGAAAAAATATGTGTAGCAGTATTTAACGTTTTACTGGCTTGATTGACATCAAAGCTAATGGTATCACGTTTGGTTTATATTTATTTAGGCCTAATCGCAAAATCATACACCGTAGGATCCACCGCGGATGAATAGGCACTGTTTGATATGGGAGGGAACGTTGTTTATAATGGCTTGCAAGAACAAGAACACCGACTCGCTGTTTGCAGTACGTTCAAGTAGTGGCCTTGAGTCCTGGGTCGGTTGATAAGGCATGCAATACGTAGTTGTTTATTTGCTTTGGAATATTTTATAGACATTCTGATTTACAAGAAGATTCAAAAGAAGATGCATTCGTAAGAAATACAATTTGACAAATTTTCTTCATACTAAGCAAATAGATTTTTACTAAAAACACTATTACTTTCCCTTCCCAGTAGGCCGACTCGTTTAAAAATCTTACTACTGTATTTAAAAAGGGATTCAAGGAAATGTTTTAGTATAGATAGAAATATGGCAAAAGGAAATTCTGATTACAGTATCTTCAAGTTTGCTGTGGTATTTATAATCCTTTTAGCAGACAACCGAAGTACTTGTCAAACCTAGGGAATAAATCCAACCTAAGGACACTTTTTGTGTAGGTTTGCTGCGGCGGATATTTAATTTTTACTTAATAAAAAACCCGCGGTTTCCTTCACTGTGGCATCGGACCTAAACCTAAGTACACGTTAAACTTAATGTTATACTCTATAAGTAAGGATTATGGTCGTTTTAACATAGGGAACTATTTTAATTTTAATGTTAATCCAATCACATATTTCACTCAGTCTGCAGGCTTGCTGGGGCCGGGGTTATTCAACTTTTCGCCCAACTCCAACTCGGCTTTACGTAGATACTCGGTCTAGAGGTTCACTTTCGGTTTCGTGTAGCGTGTAGGGTCAGGGCGGCGATGGCTGGGCTGCGGCGACGATCAATAACTGTCCGCCATGTTGCTTTACCCCCCACCACTACACACCGCCAGCAATCCGTCAATCCATCCATTATGTAATTGCTGATAACACCGTCACCGTACACGTCACTGTGACTGTAGTAGTATGTACCGTGCTCTCTAGTTATCTGGACCTCGGACCTGTAGACTTCAAATGTAACCTTATCAGTGCAACGCAGGTCGACAAGACCAGCTTCCCTATGAAAACGCAGTTGAAACAGACTGAGCTAACTTTAGAAAACAGAGCTAATGTAAAAAATATTTTCAGGCAAAAAAAAAAATTAAAAGCTAATATCCGATGGACTCCTTAAATGATTGAATGTCCCAATTTCTTTGATCATTTAGGATTTTGAACATTGTGAACATGAATACCCTGCCAGCGCAGTATAAAGCAAATTTTAGCCTGATTTTATATTATACTTAAACAGATCCTTTAAAGTAAGTTTTATTTTATATTTAGATTGAACACGATTTAACTAATTTAGGTTTGCCCCTACAGGGAAAATTGTGTTTTATTAAAATAATACTAGCTTTGTACAAAATAATTAAATGTGTTTTTATGGAAATTTTTTGTTACCTTTAATTGAATCAACGGCTCAAAATTATTTGTTTAACTCTACACAATGACTGCAATAAGAACTGGGAATTTTCGTGTTATAAGGGTAAAAAATGGAATTTTTTAAATTTAAGACTATAAGGTGTTATATTGTCTTAAAATTTACAAAAACTTATTTTAATGACACAAAATTTGGTTAGGCCTATTTTATAGTTTCATCTTCATCTTGGTAATATAAGGAAGTGCAGCTCAATAATCATTCTCAAGTCTGCAATGCTATTCTGGTATTCACTAGAGAGCCTATTATCTGTACTAATTTGTTAAGTACTGTAGTTCAGTGGGTAGCGCTGCGGTCTGCAATATCACTAAATACTGCAAACTAACTAATAAATTGCACTATTATGTATTATTATTAATAAATAATAAATAATAAATAATAAATCCCCTCTGAAACCGTAATATTGTATTTGTAAATCAGACTATTGCATTAGATTTCTTTAAAATAGTAGGAGTTTGGGTTTTTTATAGGCTACTGATAATTATTGTTTCAGCCTAATTTTAAATACTCCCACCAAAGCAAACCTGCAGACAAAGCGAATTTCCATTTGCCTTTTTTTTATTTTTTATTACATCTAATTCAATAACATTAGGTTTAACGAGTAAGCTACCTAGGTTTGCTACTACAGGGAGGGTAAAAAAGTGTGTGTTTTTTTTTTGTAAAATATTGATAGCTTAGTATAAAATAAATACATTTGCCAAGTGTGATCAAAATATATCCATAAACAAGCAAGTTACAACAGTTTAAACTTATTTTTCACAAGAATAACATGGGAATTTAAAATTAACAATTCTATAATCTTCTCCATAACCAATAACCGTACAAAAACATTTCAATATACTAAATTATTTGTTTTTTTAAGCTCTTCAAAATGATTTAGAGAGAAGTTGCTAAATTTATGTTTTTAGGATCAAAAATGAGAAAACCCAATTATTTGTTACTTCATTTATCTACCCATAACCCCGTTTTGATGGTCCGATCACGCTGGTTCGCGAACTCGTTCGAATAAACGTAGGCTTACAAGTTTGTACCAAATTCAATTGAAATTGGATCATTTTTGCTTGAGTTGTCGTGCTAACGGACACATTTTATATACGAGGGGTGTTCAATCAAGACTGACAGTACTCTTTCAATACATTTAATATAAAAGTTTATACTTGAACATTTACATCTTCTTCTTTTAAGTAGTCACCATAAAAAGCTACATTCTTGTTCCAGCGCCTCTGCCACTCCTTGAAGACGTGTTCAAAGCCCTCCTTAGACAGAACGTTCAAAATCGCCGCTAAAGTCTTAACAGCTGCAGTAGCATTTTGGAGACACCAGCCTTTGAGCTCCTTTTTGAGCTGAGGGTACAGAAAAAAGTCATTTGGAGCCAGATCAGGGCTTAAGGGTGTGTAGCACAGTTTCGATTCCTTTTTTTGGCAAGAAACTGAAGCACGGTATTGGCAACATGGGGGCGAGCATTGTCGTGATGCAGTTTCCAGCGTCTGACGAGGTCGGGCCGCTTTTTTGGGGAGTGGTCTTGGATTTCAACAATGAAATGTAGTACTCCCCGTTAATTGTCTGACCCGGTGGTACAAGATGGGTATACACCATACCATGATAATTAAAGACCGTAATCACCATTGTTTTTTGGCGTCGGTCCACCTTCCAGCTCACACGATTCCCATCCATTATATCAGTCTTGTGTCACCTATTCAGTCTGTTCTTTCACTCATTGTATCACTACCCTGTAAGTATCCGTAGCACTTTTCCTCAGTTTTCCACAAAACTGTATTGCATATCTTTGCTCACGAAAATCACCCATGGTAAAATTAAGAGACAAAAAATTTGCAACTGTTTATTAATCTGTTGCAATGACAACAAGTATGCTATAATATTAACAGCTGATTTGGTTGTTGCCAATATTTAAATGTTTCATACCAAATTGAAAAAAAACTAATTATTGTAGGCTACTTCGTTTGCTTGCATGAATGCTACTGTCAGTCTTTATTGAAAACCCCTCGTGTATATATATTGTAAGAAAGGGGATTAACCCCGTACCCACGGTGCTCATCTACATAACACCAAGACGTACATAATACACCAGAGGCACTTAGGGACATAAGTCCCTAAAAAGCTCAAAATGTAAAACAACTTATTTAATATTTAAACAAACTATTTATTTGTCAAGATGGATATGCCTGTACACCATATCTTTGTCTAAAAAAGTTTCTCTGGTTGTTGTTATCTATATATATGAAATCCAATGTTTGTCCTTTAAATGTTAGATACCGATGAAACTTTAGGGAAGTAAATAAGTACTATACAAAATAAACAGTTTTATTAGCATTCACAGTTGACACAAAAATCTTTGGTTTGGTTTTCAAAAAGTCTCAATTATAGATCACGTTGTCTAACCCTGGTTATAATATAGGATACAGTGCATTGCAAAGTTAATTGGATAAGAAGTAAACCAACTGTGTGTATTGAATACTTGGCTTGGAAATATAGCGTGATCAACTATATTCAAGTAAACAAAAATCAGCTGTGTATGGCTTCCAATGCTATTGTTATGGAGAACATTTTACGTTATATCTAAATTGTTGTTACAATTTTGGGAATTCCACTTTTTTCCCCGCGGGATAGAGACCTTTAGTAGAGATATACATATATGAATTTGAACGGATGGTGTTTTTGGCCTCTGGAGACATAAAAACAAAAAAGTAAATCGGTCCCGGGTCCAGGTCTTACTATGAAATCTATGGTAATAGTTTATTCCCAATTTGGGAAATTCGCTAAAACTAACTAAGTAAACTCAGATATTATGTGGTATGTAAATGCAATTGTCCTTGACAATAACTTTAGTACCATAAAGTAGTTGTAAGTGATTGACAGGATTGCTAGTCAATTCATCCAGGAAATCATTTTTTAACTAGTAGACCAGATATACCCTAACCAATATTTACAAATAATTCATATATGCAGAATTATGTAATTGGTAATTTGTAAGGACATTTTATAGGTAATTATAAGCATGACATACATTTACAGCGGACTCCACCATTTGGGATGAAAGTGTAGGTTTTATCGGCTTTTTGTTTTACAAATTGAAAGGGCAAAATTCTAGTTAAGCGGAAAATCTGAGAGATTATAGTAATGCACTTATAAAGAGGGTCTCTTGAGCTTTTGTCATATTTCTAGTGTCTTTTTAAAGTTCATTATTAAAAGGATACAAACTAATTTTATTTTTAAGGGTAAGTAGTTGGAACTTCTTCCAGTTTTTAAGTGACCCCATATCGTTACCCTGCATTTAAATACCTTAGTTAGGTTAGATAGGTAATTAGGTATCTAAATGTACAGTTAGGATATAGGGTCATTTGAAAATGGGAGGAATGAATTATCTATTCCTTCTGCTTAAATCGCTACATGTACAAATAATTACAATTTTAACAATATATACCACGATTGTTTTCATAGCAATGAAAGCCAGTTGAGCGGAGCAATCATGTTTCATGGTTATTAATAAAGCAATAAATGAAGAATGTTTTATCTATGACTGTACGTGTACCCATTCGATCAGTGGTCGTTTCCAAACTGGAACTTAAATGTAAACTTAAGACTTTCTCTGTGGCATTTGATCAGTTGTCATCATCCAAATTTTTTTTCTTCGTACTTTTTTCAGGTTGTGGCTTGATTTTCAACATATGCCATGATTGTTTGTTTTGTTTACATTTACGTCGTTATTTTGTAACCATCATGGCAACCCATAAGACCAATGTTAAAATTTAAAACTTTGAGTTACTTTAAAATAATATAGCCATTATAAAAAATTGAAATTGGTTACGTCAAACCATCCAAACATTTGACAAAACAACCTTGGTAAGTTTGGCTAAAATATGTTCAGCCTTTATTGAGCTTAAGTGTTATAAAGATTGCATTGATGTTGATCCCAAAGAGCTTCGCTTCGCTCCGCTCAATGAAGTTTTACAAGCATAAAGTAATCAAGAATACAGTACAGAGAAAAATTAACAAAATTGTGAACTTAAATTTTGAGAATGATAAAACTAACAAAACTGACCTAATAAAATCTAATAAACTTTATAATTTTGTAGCTACCATAGTTATAATTTGTATAGACAAACACTGCCTGTGCATCTGCTGGGTTGCTATAGTCTTTTAATGACCTGGATATTTAAACGGACGTTGAATCAAAAAGGAAAAAGAAATAGTTTGTATTTTGCTTTTGAGGATGTACATGCAAATGAAATCAAATGAGTGATAAGATGTATAGCAATCATTTCTGTGGGAGCAAATGTAACCGTACAGTTGTGTCGCCCAGGAGATTCTTTACCTCCCGAATCATAGTGTATTTAAAAATACTAGCGACAGGAAAAGTCTTACTATTTTACCTCCGTGACCAATGCTATGTCATGTTGCAGGATGCCAGAAAAGCAGCTTGTGACACAAGTCTGGTGCAGGCCACCAGCAACATGGAGCCCATCGGCAGGATACAGATGCGAACACGGAGAACTCTCCGTGGACACCTCGCCAAGATATACGCCATGCACTGGGGCTCTGACTCCAGGTAAGCACTAGAGATGGCAAATACCGTTACTTTGCTAGGACCGCTCCTCAGCTTTTACTAAAATACAACTGTTTTAACGTCAAAACAACTAAACCCACCAGGAATATAAATCCTCCAAAGTTTGAGCTAAGTGGAGTGGGTAGGTTCATTCATACCTAATTCCAGCATCCCTCTAAATATTCTTCAAATAAAGAAAATAAGATTTGGTCTTGATTGAAGCTTTCAAAGATTAAAAACTTGACCCAGCTTCCCTTTAAGATTGTTGGGCTTTATAGAAAACTGCTGGTCTTATTCAGTAAGAAAGCTACCGAGGACGTCTTTCCCATCCCACAATCATTTCTCTCAATAACCCAATAATTTGTATTATAAGAAAAGTCTGTAGCTTTTTGATGGCTTGAAACTGGGCTCAACCTTAGTCCTTGGCTTTAAATAAACGATCCTTGCTAAGAAACAGGTAAGTTTAGTCAGTAATAGAGCTACACAGATTATTTCGCTCCTTTCCACTATCACATTTAGTCTCATTGCATTCATATTCGTCTTTGTGTGCACTGCTGGCTTATAGTAATGATAAATTATAATAATTTGGTTTAAACATGCATGGTTTCAGGAGAGTAATGACTAATTATTGACAACTTCATTATATTATATTAATCTTTAATGTTATTGTTTCAGGAATCTAGTGTCCGCTTCACAAGACGGTAAACTCATAGTTTGGGATAGTTACACGACTAACAAAGTTCACGCAATTCCTTTACGTTCAAGTTGGGTGATGACCTGTGCCTATGCGCCATCAGGAAGCTACGTAGCTTGTGGTGGACTCGACAACATCTGCTCCATATACAGGTGAGTTAACTGGACTAGTGGTAAGGTGTTGTGTTCAAGTTGGGTGATGACCTGTGCCTATGCGCCATCAGGAAGCTACGTAGCTTGTGGTGGACTCGACAACATCTGCTCCATATACAGGTGAGTTAACTGGACTAGTGGTAAGGTGTTATGTTCAAGTTGGGTGATGACCTGTGCCTATGCGCCATCAGGAAGCTACGTAGCTTGTGGTGGACTCGACAACATCTGCTCCATATACAGGTGAGTTAACTGGACTAGTGGTAAGGTGTTATGTTCAAGTTGGGTGACGACCTGTACCAATGTGACATCAGGAAGCTACGTAGCTTGTGGTGGACTCGACAACATCTGCTCCATATACAGGTGAGTTAACTGGACTAGTGGTAAGGTGTTATGTTCAAGTTGGGTGATGACCTGTGCCTATGCGCCATCAGGAAGCTACGTAGCTTGTGGTGGACTCGACAACATCTGCTCCATATACAGGTGAGTTAACTGGACTAGTGGTAAGGTGTTATGTTCAAGTTGGGTGATGACCTGTGCCTATGCGCCATCAGGAAGCTACGTAGCTTGTGGTGGACTCGACAACATCTGCTCCATATACAGGTGAGTTAACTGGACTAGTGGTAAGGTGTTATGTTCAAGTTGGGTGACGACCTGTACCAATGTGACATCAGGAAGCTACGTAGCTTGTGGTGGACTCGACAACATCTGCTCCATATACAGGTGAGTTAACTGGACTAGTGGTAAGGTGTTATGTTCAAGTTGGGTGATGACCTGTGCCTATGCGCCATCAGGAAGCTACGTAGCTTGTGGTGGACTCGACAACATCTGCTCCATATACAGGTGAGTTAACTGGACTAGTGGTAAGGTGTTATGTTCAAGTTGGGTGACGACCTGTACCAATGTGACATCAGGAAGGTTCAAAACTTTGTGCCATTGTAGTTGTAGGTCTATACAAATTCCATAAAGTATGATTTAGCTACATCCATATGTTACAATTATCTATTCAAGTGGCCTTAGCCTATCAATTTTATAAACCATTTTTTATCTTTTTTACAATCAGACTGGTAAACATTCTACTGAAGAATCAGCTGTTAAATTACCATTAACATGTAAACGGTTACGAAGAAAGTCGTTCAGCTTTACTAAATCTTGAAAAGCAACTCTAGAAATAAATTGAATGCCAGGGGTGAAGCCCAAAAGGAAATGATCTTTTAGTTATTCGTCCATCTGCTAGATCATAAGCTTTAGAGCTAAGCTCATCATAAGCTTTGTGTTAATGATACATCAATGGAGAAAATCAGTTGAGTAGGCGGGTGAATTGTACAGAGAAAACCTCCTTTATGGTGTTAAGTATACCAGTACAGATTGTAGCTAACGAAGCACCCCTATCAAATAGGAATGAGAAAAACTAATTGTTAGACTACTCACTTGAGCACTGTTTCTGAATTTGACTTTTTTTGTTTCAGTTTGAAAACGAGAGAAGGTAACGTGCGAGTTAGTCGGGAACTTCCCGGTCACACAGGTTATTTGTCCTGCTGTCGGTTTCTCGACGATAACCAAATAGTCACAAGTTCAGGAGATATGTCATGGTGAGTATTGTTGTATAGAATAATCAGAAAGTGTTGTGTTAAAAGAATTTTCAAGCGCACAATCTTTGTGAACGCTTTTTGCAATCACAAAAGTAAAAGCTTGGTTTGATTTTCTGATGTCTGGTTCAAGCTCTTAGTGACTAGTATCTAAACTTTTTCATGAAGTGAATGGCATCCAAACTAGCTGGAGCTGGACTAGACGTGGGCTTGTGGCAACTTCAGGAGTATCCCTGTGGTTATTTAGTAACTACACTGCTATATTTGTCTGTGTAGTAGGCAATGACACACTGTGATGCCGACCTTACTTGTCCTAAAGATCGTTGATCCTTATTAATTTACGGTAACAAAAGATGCAAAGGTTTTACCATAAAAAATGGTATCAGTATCGATAATCAATTTTTCAGGTAACAGGTAGATCGGTGGTATTGACTCATCACTACTTATTAGTATAAAAAGTATCATGACTGGTCAGTGTTTTCCTGTGATTTTGGTTAAAATGAAGCTTAGGTATTGGATGAAATCGTTTTCATCATCACTCATAAAAAAAACACTAGCTCTCGTCAATTTTTGTGGGAAAAACTTAAATCAAAGCCACTAGTGTTTTGTAATGTTGTGTTTTCTCTGTGTGTAGTGCGCTGTGGGACATAGAGACTGGACAACAATGCACGTCGTTCATCGGCCACACTGGAGATGTAATGTCTCTGTCCCTTGCTCCCGACATGCGTACCTTCGTTTCAGGCGCCTGCGACGCTTCTGCCAAAGTAAGTACATTGCTGCACACAACGACGATGTAATTATCGGCTTCAGTGCCACTATCACTTAGAGCAACCTTTGGTATTCCATGGACTTATTATTCGGTTAATGCATCAGTTCAGGGTGGAAGCTCCAAATTATCAATTGCTGGTTCTTTTTGCATTTTCACTGTTGCTAGCCAGGGCTAGAGATATACAAGGGCTGGCTCACTCCTTTGATGTTAGCGGTCGCCGCCTGATCCTACTTCCCCTCTCCTGCCCCTCCTCAGTGACGTAGCGCTGGTACATTGGCGCGGCGCGACGGTAGCCTAGCACGGCAGTGCATAGCATATGTCACCCCAGGGCTATGTCACCCGGCATCTACGCGCATATTAATAGTTGTGTTTATAAAATGTAGTTTTGTAGTTTGATTTTTAAAGCGGGTTTCGTTAACCCTTCAACTTGCAATGGGCGAACTCTGTAGTGGCAAGGCAATTTTGCAGTCATATTAGCAAAAAATGCATATAGGCTTAAACCAACAGACCAAACGTATTGAACCGTGTACTTGAAGTGTTCGTAATAAAATGAAGAACTTGAAAATAGCAAAAAAATAAATATTTAAAATATTATTGTAGAAAATTATTGACAGTAGGTAGAAAATAAAATTTTTCATGTAAACTTCTGATGTACAAATTGTTTGGAATTTATTTCCCTACATGGAAATGTGAAAAAATCCAATAACCAAAGTTATGGTCCAAAAACAAAAAAATTACAAGTTTCACGATTTTGCACTACAAATTTCAAACAAAAGCCAAATAAATATATTATCAAGAGATAAAGTAAAAGTTAACATTTTTAGGCAATAATATTAGAAATCAAATGAAGTAAGAGTTGTATATGTAAAATGATCATTTCAATAAATGTTTATGACTTTTAATAAATGTTTATATTTGTCTAGAAAAACATTTTGAATTCACACATGTAATTATATATTACTAGCAGAGTACCCGTCCTTCGTACGGGGTTGGAAAATAAGTATAAAATGCTTATTGCAGTTATACTCAAGCTTTGCATTTGCAATAAGGGAGGACACAGTTTGATAAAATTTACTTTTTTAAATTTACAGTATTCTATAGTATTACACATCTACCATAGCAGGGGTAGCGGATTTTTATCCCCCTGGAATTTTACCCCCTGGGCAAACGTGACGTCACAAACCAGGGGGTAAAATTCCGGCCGCGAACTTTTGAGTTTCGCGACATCAGCTCGATGGATCAAACGCGGAATTAAACATATATTTTCACAGTTGTGAATTTAATCAGAACACATCAAATTATAAAAACCTAAAGTGTACGGCCCGGATTTTTACCCCCGGAATTTTACCCCCAGAATTTTACCCCCGGATTTTTATCCCTGGAATTTTACCCCCCCGGATTTTTACCCCCGGAATTTTACCCCCTGGCCAGACATGTAAATTAGTGAGATTGTTTAATTATTTTCATTCTCTTTTAATTTAATAGTAAACATTTTATTATTAAGTAGCCTATCTTAATTTATTTGTAACATCAACTAATCGAACAGGTTTTTTATTTTAATTTTGAGATTCGAGTATCAGGATTCCATCTTTGAAACCAACTGTTGATTAATATGACGTATAAACAAACATCAGAATGGTAATTAATTCGAAGATTTCTTTAACGATTTATTATACAACCGTGGTAAAACAATGTTTTTCATTTGTATTGTAACAATAACAAAATATGCCTTATTGTTTCTTTACGAATAAATGTTCACCCAATTATCATTTAAATGAGCTACTCAGTTTATTTTACATACTTATTAACCAACAGTTGGCCCCAAATGCAAATCCCGAACATCAAAATTAAACAGCGAATTCTGTTTACTTAGTTGAGATTACGAAATAAATAAATAAAGATAGGCGACTAAATAATGAAATGTTTACATTTAATTAAAAACAGAAATAAGAAGATCAATCATTCAATTTCTAAAATTGGCCAGGGGGTAAAATTCCATGGGGTAAAATTCCGGGGGTAAAAATCCGGGGGTAAAATTCCGGGGGTAAAAATCCGGCCCGTACATCTTCAGTTGTCTAAACGCTAGTTATATGGACAGGGGGTAAAATTCCTGTTTTTATCGCTAATCTAATTAATCACGCTCTGGTTATTTTCATTAGACTTCCAAATCCGCGGGGGTAAAATTCCGGCCGCGAACAAACTTTTGGCCACTCAGCTTACTACGTCATAGTGACGTCAGCTTTGCCCAGGGGGTAAAATTCCAGGGGGATAAAATTCCGGCGACCCCCATAGCAATTATGTTCTACCACTTCACCTAAACAATAGAGAAAATTATCAACAATTCGCAAAATATCACAAATTATTCATGAAATGAAAAACATAAACAAAACTGTAAACAATCCTACTTTGACAGTTCTCATTGCAAATCACATTTTTTTGTTGATGCTTAGTTCAAATTAGCTGTTTTCATAAATGCAAAAAAAAATATAGTGCTGCACCCTGTTGGTAAATCTTATAACTTTTTAATGATTTTCCATATCATAGAACCAACTTTTTTAGTTGAAACAGCTGACTAAATTCTTTAATTCCCTTTAAATATGATACTCATAAGGTTAACATGGGGAATTACAGAGCCACTGGGGCAGAGCCCGAAAGGATTTTTGAGATAAGAATATGTCTATATGTTAATCGGGAATGTAAGCTATCATCATGCCAAATTTCAGCCCAATCCGTCCAGTGGTTTATGCGTGATTGAACTTCAAACACACAAACAAACAAACACACAAACTTTCACATTTATATGCCTAATATTATTATGATTTTTCAAACACATAAACCCCACATGCCAACTATATAAAATGAAAGTAAACTTATTCCCCTACATGAATACACATAGTTATAAAAGAAAATATACATAAATAAATATTTTAATTTTTTTCTATAATAGTTATAGTTTTATTCTTTTTCATTTGGCGATCAAATCCTGTGTTCATTATGGCCCAGCGCACACGGTGTGACTGTTTTGAGAGCAACCGTTGCAAACCCGTTGCGACTGCAACCAGTTTGCAACTGAAAAAGAGCTTCTGTCCGCACACGGTGCAACTGTGTTACAAATACAGTTGCGTATATTCTGCAATCAGTGGAGTGTTATATTGTAAGTGCAGTGACGTTGTTTTTAAGGCCTTCCTTGTTTTTAAGTGTTTTTAAGTACAATAACAATGTCAGACTCAGACGAAGAAGACGTCATTACCTGGCAAACCCAATTCAACAGACACATCTTGCCATGCTTTATCAGTCAAATCTTTCCTTGAATATCCTGGCAGTTTGTAGTTGTACAGAAATTCATGTTTCTCCACTTCTCCAACGAGCTTCAAGTTGAATTCTTGATCATTCATTTTGAGATGAACACTATACGGCCGTCAAAATAACAACAAATTTCCCCCAAACACCACAAAAACACCCCGTGGTTTCGTGCAACTGGTTGCTGCAACGTCGGGCCCACCGTTGCATGTGACTGGTTTCAAACTTTTCTGAAAATCGCAAACAACCAGTTGCGTCGTGTGCGGCTCCCCACTGCAATACATTGCCGATGTCGCAAAACAGTTGCAAGCGCAACTGGTTTGCAACGACAGTTGTAAAACAGTCACACCGTGTGCGCTCGGCCTATGACGAAATGTTTCAAAAACGGGCTGAATGTAATGTACCAGACCTCAAATTAAGTAAGTATATCCACATAAAACAGTTTACAAACTAAATATGTGTACAAATTTACAACTAATAAATATGATTAAATTAAAGTGATAAAGTCACACCCGCGATATTCGTTGTTGATAAACAGCTAATGAAGTTCACAAAAACCGGCTAAAAATAGTGTCTCAAGTTTCTAAAAGTAATGTCACATTTCAGTCAAGGCACAATAAATAATATCGAAACTAAACATTTACAACTTTACAAATAATAATTATGATGTAAACTGATAAAGTAAAATCACACCAAAACTCGACTTGTTGGTTATCGGTTAACAGAGATTGAGGTCAGTTAGTCTGGCAACTTTATTTTAATGGATTGAAATATGTATAGTAAAATGTAATTGATAAATTGAAATTCTTTTCCTTCTTTTAAAAGTTACAAAATACTAAGTATAATGTATTTTTATACAACCTCAATGTATTTTATATAACCTCAATTAATTCTAAAAGGTATAAATAATAAATAAATACAATTAAAAATCCATACATTAAGATACATTCGAGCAATACGAACACAGATATTACACAGTAACTTAATGCATTGGATCAATAACTACAGTATTCTTAGCAATGGCTTTACAGTCCACTCACATCCTTAAATATCTACTAAAGTAATTTTTATTAATTAAAATTTGATGTTATACGTAATCCTATTTGAAAATCAATTAATTTTAAAAAATATAGCAATACCTAATAAAAAATGTCTAACATAGAGCTTATTTGACACTAAATGAGCGGCAATACCACCGCTCACACATGCAAAGCTATACAGTGCCGGGAGCCCGAGGTACCGCCGTGACGTCACAGCGGTGGAGTGGAGGGGAGCCAGCTGGCATCACTTTCTGAGCTCGCGTGGCCTAGCCCTTGTATATCTCTAGCCCTGGTTGCTAGCAGCCACCTGTTAAACGTTTTATTCTTTGTTTGAACTTCTTTTTCAAAAACGTCAAATTTTTTGTTATTTGGACAAATCTCTATTAGTCAAAGCAAACTAAAAAACTGACACAGGGAACGTTAAAAATTTGAAGAGAACGTTTTATGGTTTTATTTTGTAGTGTTGGGTCTGCAGAGTGACATACTAAAAGTTGCCAAAAATCGGTCAACAGAAAACCTCCTAAGATCACGATTAAAAACGGCGGCTTTTCCTAACATTGGACAAATTAAAAAAAATATACCACATGCATATTTTATTCAAAGATTTTTGAGATATTGACTTGGGACGACCACCGAAGTTTATTGGGTGGTTAGTACTTCATTTACATAGAGAACTCATTTTTGGCCGCCATCTGGGATCCGCCATATTGGATATAAATTTAAATATTTCATGTAATGATAACGTTGTGACACATCATTATAAACCAGATTTTCACGCCGATTTCAATGCCGAAATCCGCTTTTAAATATCTGTTTACGGTTTGAAGATATATTCAAACAAAAACTCACCTCCATACATTTGTTATGGAGGTTTCGTACTTTGAAGGTTTTTAAATACCATTTTTCTTATATCTCCAGGTCTTATCAACGCTTGCAGTTCAATCTAGCCTTTAAATATTCTGTGATGTAAGCGCTTTCATTTGACATATTGATCATTCAAATCGAACGAGTTAGCAACGAGCTACAATCCCCAAAACAATATTAAATTTAAATTTTTACTTCTATTCACTGGACTAACTACCACATAATCATTTATGGTGAACCAACAATTACATCATCATTAATCATTAGTACAATTATTCTTGTAAAAAAAAAAAATAGAAAATAAGTAGACTGCTTGTCAAATATATTGAGAAATAAGGGAGATATTACCATTCCCCAGACCTTACAATCAGTTCAGATCACCTAGCAATGTCACTATGACATTGACTACTTAAAACATACATCATCCCAAAATGTGTTGAATTCTCTTATTAAAATTTCTATGTATCTTTTGTATCTGAATTTCTCAAAGAAAAAGAAAATTGTTTACTGATTAAAAGATAATTTTAGACTTTCAGGTTTATCAGGTAAAATAGTCGGCATATTTATAATTAATTTTTCATTTTCAGTTATGGGACATCCGAGAAGGCTCGTGCAAACAAACTTTCCCCGGCCACGAATCAGATATAAACGCAGTTACAGTAAGTTATCTTATGTATTTATAAATCAATATACGTATGCAATAAGGGTTTTTCTGTAACATTACTTTTTCACCCGTCCTCAACTGTTTTTACAATGTAGGTGTCATTTTATAGCTTATGATCCAAAAGAGGGCCAAATTGTAATTAAAGAGATGATTTCCTTTAGGGTAGAATAGTTAGCAGATACAACACGAGAAAAACAAGGTTACATTAAGGAGAAAAAGTGAATAGAGAAAGAGGGCTGGGGAAGAAGGAATTATTAGTTATATGTGTAAAATTCCATAAGACAATGAACTCTATGACCAACAGAGAAGTGATTAATACATCTGAGTGATTAGTGATGAAGTGATTAATACATTCTTGAGTTGTTAAGAGTTTATGTTAGTGTATTTATATACAGACTTTGGCCCAGTGGGTGATTCATTTAGATCCAAGAAATAATCTCAAATTCTTCTTTCTAAAGTAAAACCTCAATAACTAGATAGTTGATTACTCTAATTCCTTTATATCTCAATTTTTCCACAATCCCCTTGAAATTCACAATGCAAAAAGTACCTTTTAGGCCTATATGTAGAATATTTTAAATATTTAAACTTGATAAGTCCAATTTTAACTGTTTTGCGATCTAACTAAAAATAACTAATAATACTAAACCTCCTTTTTGAGTGATATGCAAAACATGTTACTTTCATGTTACCAACATGGACATTCCCAGATGTTTCCTAAGTCAGAAAATTGGGACTTACATTTTATATTACCAAAATTACAAGATCACTATAATATGAACCGTTTTGTGTTTGCACGATAATTTTTTTTATCTTGCTTTTAAGTCTCTCAAAAACAAAAACTCAATAACTCAAATTCGTAACCTTGCCCATTCAGTTTCGAGATGTCAAGGTCCTACTGTACTAGTTTTGACTGTAGTAGTATTTTTAATATACCTATTTTTCTCTGCTACCAAGCTCTAAGAGTGATGTTTTTCCAGTTCTTCCCCAACGGATACGCATTTGCGACGGGGTCGGACGACGCAACGTGTCGCCTCTTTGACATTCGGTCTGACCAGGAGCTAGCGATGTACTCTCATGACAACATCATCTGTGGAATCACCTCTGTGGCGTTCTCTAAGTCCGGACGGCTGCTGCTCGCCGGCTATGACGACTTTAACTGCAACGTCTGGGACTCCATGAAGACAGAGCGTGCGGGTAAATATCTCCCCCCTCCACTGAGAGTGATTGAACCCTTCAAGGTGGTTTGACGAGACCCACTTGTCATGGACGCAACCCACTTGGTGGTGGTATCTGACGATGAATCAGGGAACTATTTCAAAGTAGGACTGTATACAACACATTTCCCAACAGTTGCTTGATCTTTTACAACTGTTCCCAATTATTATTTTGAGTGCAACAGATTGTTTTCAAAGGTGAAAACCATGAGAGAAGGTTATGAAACCTTCAGTTGTAAATGTGGACCTATAATATCAGTTACAGCCTGTTTATTTTTGAATTCTATTTTGATGATGAAATCATTAATTTAATCATAACTAGCACCAACTCCTATGTTGAAAAGCTAACGGCAAAACGAGAATGGTTTGGAAGGATTTGGGAAAAAACCACCGAAGCAGGATCCAGAGGGTATTGAAAATCCTGCTTTGAAGGGTTGTGGGATCAGTATAATGTTTGTGTTGGTTTATTTTGTATAACGTTTTGGACAAATTAGGCTTGTAAAGAGCATAAAAAAGGGAATTAATTTAATTAATAATATTTACCAAATAATAGATTCTGGGCCAGTTTTAATTGCTAGATTAATATTAAGTAGTCTCCTGCTGCTTTAATGTTAGTTAGTAATAAGATCGTTGTTTTCACTGTTCCATTTTAAAAAATCTGCATAAAGATGCCACATCATTTGATGGATCACATCCGTAGCCGAATCTTTTTCCTGAATAGATTCAACATACTACAACTGATTTGGTTAATGGTGGCCAAATTCTGCTAAATTAATATTGAGTACAACACACATTCTACATTTTTTCTTTTAATTTGTACTACAGTAGAGTTCCACTTTACCGAACCCCGCTATTTTGAAAGTCTGCCTATTCCGAACAAAGATTGGCAATTTTTTTTATGTATTAGTATGTTGCGCATCATTGCAGACGTTTTCTGCAGTCGCAAAAACCAAAGATTGGATCTATCATGGCGTAGTCGTAAAGATCTTTTGAGATTACGGCAAAATTGTCAACATCTTCCGTAGTTGTGGAGACATCATTATTGTCTCCCACAGTCGCAATGATTAATTATTAACAGAAATCCACTTATACCAAATTCCCTCTAATCAAAACAGGTTTCAGTTCCTGTTAGTTGGGAATTACTGGACTCTACTGTATCATCAAAAAAGACTATATCGAGTGAGGTTGTATTTTCATAGTCTTCTTACTGTTTCCTGCTCCTTTTAAAAATGATTAGATTACAATCCAGTTTGAGTTCTGTGGCCATGACTAAACTAATGGTATATTGCAGGTATCCTGGCGGGACACGACAATCGAGTGAGCTGCCTGGGAGTGACGGAGGACGGCATGGCCGTCGCTACAGGATCTTGGGACAGCTTCCTGCGAATCTGGAACTAAACAAGCATCATGAATAACAAACTATATGAAACACTACAGTAGAACCCACCTCGGTGACCCCCGTCTTCCAGTTTTGAAGCAAAGAGTGGGGTCACGATCCCCGCTCTACCCTCGGGGTTCTACTGTATTTATTGTTATTATTATCGTAATATATTTTTTAAAATTACTTATTATCTCCTACATATGTAATTCGTTTGTTGAGATTCGACGGTGGTATTTATTATTTTATTTATGTTGAAACGGTGTTACATTCGACGATCACAGCATAACGCACATTGTACACTCACGATCGTTACTTCGCACACGGTATTCTCTTAGTAGATTGTCGCGATCGGAACTCCATATTATTTATTTAAACAAAAAAAGCTTAGACTTCTCCGGCATCGTACAAAACTGTAATGGCACAATTTTTTATTTTTAAATCGTGGACTCGTTTTTAAGATTTAGTGTTTATTGACCACCGAGTATATTTTCTGCATTTACGATGTATTATATTCTGTTGGAGGGGATTTTTCTAGTCATACGCAGTCTTACCTCGAGCAACATACCTATTTGTACAGGGACCAGCTACAACGGGGCAACAATTATAATGGATTTTATCTCTGATTTCTGTCTGTCAGCACGGGATGTGATCCGTAACCTACTGTATTTCATGAGTGCTTTATCTTATATAAGTAGAAAATCATGAATGAGTAATTACTGCCATTTGCTTATAAACATGTTGTGGGTGAGACTTATAGGATAATATGTGTACTATTACAAATTTCATCACACTAGATTTTGAGAAGAAAATAATACATATACTATAATTATTATCGAAGTGATCGTTTAGATATCCCCCTCCCCCAGGCGACGACCTGGCGTAGAAACCCTTTTTGTATATCTATGGAATATTTACTAACAACAAGACGTGTGGCTTTCGAATATTTTACTTTTTTAATGGACATTTACTTATTTATTCCTGTGACGAGAACGGTTTCTTTAGCTTGGTGACTGCGCATCAGCCTAGATCCGAAGTCTGTACATGTATAAACAGTGTGAATGCGGAGGGAGAAGCGCACGCCAAAGTGTGTCTATTTGCGACATTTCAACTAACTGTATTACCGTCATTTTCTTTGTAAGAATGAGTTTTAGGTTTAGAGTTTAATGTGTGTACCGTACCGTTAATATTATCGTCCGGGAGTACGAATGATCACTAGGTCGTATACGGACGTCTCCAGCTCCCTCTTAGTTCGTGTGGATGTAAACTGTTTCAAAACTTTGGGCTCTCCCGCAGGCAGCACTAGGCAGTGCTCATGGGTTCGAGTGTAAAAAAATCAGGTACATCGAATCTCAAAGGATAACAGACTCGATGTAAGGGCTCAGGGTATTTTTACACGTAACCCAGCTAAATTAAAACCCACCTCTTGTAAGCGAATGGCATATCACGGAATAACAGGCTTGGAAGTAGGTGTATTGGACGAGCACTGTCAGTCGCCCAAAGCTTTGGAAATCTTCCCGTGCGGGTCGGGGTGTTATCCCTCCGATCCGTGTCGTGGATGTCTTTTGAAAGGAAGACATTTGTATTATTGTACAATACGAATAAGGCGGGGCAAATCGTCATTTGCCTCGTCTTGGGCTGTTTCTATCTATTGCAAAACATGAAGTTTGTATATGAGTGTCCTCTTCTTTTGTCATCAACACATTGTGGGCTGCTTTCAAAGTGATTTTGTTCCTGTGGCAAAGAACGCTTGAGTTTGCCCGTTTTATTTGCTTGAACCTCAACAGGACGTGATGTGGAGGAATCGAACACTCTCATATTTGCTGCCATCACACCTGTGACAAGGCAAGTTACCACGTTATAACCCGAGGTAACCCTTTGTCCATTGTGCATATAGTAAAACAATTGTGTAGTTTTATGTTATCTTTTTGTATATGATTCAAAAAATTAATCTAAAAAAGAGAAAATTTGATTACAAAATTATTGCAAGATGCTGTTTAGCTTATGAATGACTGTTTTATTGTGATTCGTCTTGTAAAGTAAACTATAAAAAATCTCACTTGTCCAATAAAGCTACTTGTCTTTAATTGTGTTTTATTGAAACCGTTAGATTTCCTAATCTTTTATGTAGAACAGATTAGTTACTTATTGATTAATTCCTCATTAGGTTAAGCAATTAATTCGCCAAAGGCCTTGGGCTCCGCTCCCCCAGCAGGACCCTGTCCTCCAGTACACCTCACTATCACTACAACTCACAGAACTGTCCCCGAGAACAAGTGCACTGGCCTACTTAAAGGAACAACCTTCTGTAGGTCAGCACAAACTGTTATTTATTTCCTCAGACTTGTCACCACATGTTTGGACATCCACTGGGCTTGTTTGTGAGACTTTTATATCAATTAATAAAGCTAGTTAGAATCAGTTGGGTCCTTGAGCTACCTTTTTGTAAAATTGTAGCCCAGTCAATTCAATAGTTTATCTTTTCACCCGGAACAAACACACAGTTCCACAAAACTACCTCTATTCAATAATATATTTTCTAACGAATTTTCTCCTCCTTTTTGTTATTAAAAAAACTTCAGACTTTCAATTTCCTACCAAAAGTAAACAGGATAGAACAAGCTTTAACCCTATTCTACTCTCAATCTTTAAACCCTCTGGAAACTAAAACTCTAGTAGGGTAGGAAAAATACAATAAGTACACACATTACAAAACAAGTATAGGTTTATTTGTCATAAAAAATAATCAAAGTCTTAAATAACAATAAAATTGAAGGTCGTGTTTATTTTACTTTAACTACACAGCTCAGTACTGTCTACATATTGGCACATCAGGTCTCCGAAATCTCCTCTGATAGCTTGATTCTGGTCGGAATGTTTGTAGTTCTGGAAAATAATTTTATAATTTAATCGTTGAGTATAAGACATCAGATGTAAGCTGAACTAATTATTATAAGCTTATTATAACTACTTTTAAGCTTAACTACAAAGATCTTTGCTATGGTAAAATTCAACAATAGCTAAGCTTCTTTTCTTTTCCTATAAATCAAAGGTGCTGTCAGCAAAATGTTACAAATGTTACACTCTTAGAGTAAACGTACAAATTTCTAGCAAATTTTTATTTCTGATTTGTTTGTTTTGATCTAAACAGGGTGTCCACCGACCGGGAAAACCGGGAATTATGCGTGAATTTTGTATTTAACCGGGAATTTTTTGCCGCGATCGCGCATGACGACGATGATATATCCGTGACCGCGGAAAGCGACGATGACGTTTCCGTGACCGCGGAAGATGACAACGACATTTCCGTAACCGCGGGAGATGATGACGACGTTTCCGTGACCGCGGGAGACGACGATGACATTTCCGTGACCGCTGGAAACGAAGATGGCGTTTCCATGACCACGGGAGACAACGGTGATATTTCCGTGACCGCGTGTGACGACGATGACGTTTCCGTGACTTCGGGAGACGAAGATGACTTTTCCGTGATCGCGCATGCGGACGATGACATTTCCGTGACCGCGAGAGACGAAGATGACGTTTCCGTGACCGCGGGAGACAACGATGGCGTTTTCGTGACCGCGGGAGACGACGATGACAAACCCGTGACCGCGTGAGACGACGATGACGTTTCCGTGACCGCGGGAGACAACGATGGCGTTTTCGTGACAGCGTGTGACGACGATGACGTTTCCGTGACCGCGGGAGACAACGATGGCGTTTTCGTGACCGCGGGAGACGACGATGACAAACCCGTGACCGCGAGAGACGACGATGACGTTTCAGTGACCGCGGGAGACAACGATGGCGTTTTCGTGACCGCGGGAGACGACGATGACAAACCCGTGACCGCGAGAGACGACGATGACGTTTCCGTGACCGCGGGAGACAACGATGGCATTTTCGTGACAGCGTGTGACGACGCTGACGTTTCCGTGACCGCGGGAAACAACGATGACGTTTTCGCGACAGCGTGTGACGACGACGATGTTTCCGTGATCGCGGAATATGACGATGACGTTTCTGTGACCGCGGGAGACGATGACGACGTTTCCGTGACCGCGGGAGACGACAATGGCGTGTCCGTGACCACGGGAGACGACGATGACGTTTTCGTGACAGCGTGTGACGACGATGCCGTTTCCGTGACTTCGGGAGACGGTGGTGATGTTTCTGTTACTGAGTGAGATATTCAAGTTTTTTTTGTTTATCGCAGAAAACGATGATGGTGTCTCGACGACTGTGTTAGATGATTACAATATACCAAAAATTTCAAAATGGCACACTTCTAGAAAGTTTTTTTCTTATTTTTTTGTAATATCTTCATTTACCTTTAACGTGGTATTTATTTAATGTGTTTAGAAGGGTTTAAAAAATAAATTGGCTACGTGCAATTTTGTAATTTCTGCATTATTATTTCTGTAGGCCACTTGGAAAACAACCCATTACTCCAAAATTATAGTATATGAAAGTACATAAAGCCAGGGGTTGGTGTAGTAATCCTTCAAGAAAATTTTGTAAAATTGAAATTATCAGTTTTAAGAATCTATTTTTCAGGTGTCTGTACAGAGATTCAATAAATTTTGGTATCGACATATCACTATTTTTAGGAAGTTATTAATAAATTGCAGGTTTAATGATTAGTTTTAAATTTTTGGATTATTTAATCAGTAATATATAAAAATTGAATACTTGTGTCAGGCAATATTACAGCAATCATAATTTTTTTCCCCTTAACTCAGAATGCTCTTTCCGATGACTAAAATAGCGGGCTGTGTTAGTGCTAAAACAGCATTGCAGAAGTTGGCGCAAAACACGTTGGAAATTTTAGTATAAAAAGTACTTCCTGAACTACCTGGAATTTTTTTTTTTTACTCATGAATTTTTTCTGGTTGGCCTGGTGGACACCCTGTCTAAACTATTTGCAGGAAAAGAACTAAGTAAATTATCTCGGCACACTATCGATTTATTTATTGATTGCACTATTGTACGAGGGCTATCCAGAAAGTAGATTACGTTTTTGTCTGTATCGCTAGGGGCGGGGCTAGCACGACCATCTTGGTGTTAGTTGACCATCTTGGTGTTAGTTCGTTATGCAGCTCAGTCGGCATTCAGCCGTGCTAGTAAGAGGTTTCTGCTGTACTCCGTTGAGTTACTGTGACAGTTTAAAATTTCTGTGTTAATTGAAAATGCCGCGAACTGTGAAGTGTGTCCAAAAAAAAATGATTGGACTCTTTGGTTACAGTTTGGTAACCAAGCTTTTCCGGTTATGATATCGTGCAACAAACTTCGCGAAATTTGTGGAAAACCCATAGAGAGTTTTGTTATTGTGAACTTTCGAGTTTTACGGACATCGGCATCAACTGTTTCGACAAGTTCGGCAGTCACAATGCTGGGTCTTCCACTTCGCTCTTCATCGTGAACATTAGTTCGGCCATCTTTAAATTTGATGACCCACTGACTAACTCCACCTTCAGTAATAATGTTTTCTCAATAAACTTCACAAAGTTGCCGATAGATTTCTCTCGGTTTACAGTTTTTTGCAGTCAAAAACCTTATAACTGCATGCACTTCACAGTTCGCGGCATTTTCAATTAACACAGACATTTTAAACTGCAACAGTAACTCAACAGAGTACAGCAGAAACCTCTTACTAGCACGGCTAGATGCCAACTGAGCTGCATAACAAACTAACACCAAGATGGTCGCGCTAGCTCAGCCCCTAGCGGATACAGACAAAAACGTAATCTACTTTCTGGATAGCCCTCGTAGATATCCATCCAGCCACTCAATCAATGGCAAAGAAGGGGTCAAAAGGACCAAGAATATATTTATAACAGACAATAACAAGACAGTAAATTGATATGACAATCAGCAACTTACTTAACCTACTGCTGTTTAGTTGTTTTACCAAATCTGTTGTATTTTTTACTATTGATAGAAGTAGACACCCTAGTTCTATGTGAAAGTAAATTTAAGTCACATCAACTATCATACTGTCAATAACTAAGTGAGAAAATGTGACGGGCAAATGCAAGGTAAAAGAGGCTGTCAATCTCATTTGTAAAAAAACTACAGTTGCATTTGCAAAAGTGAATAGATAAAAAAAAATAATAAAATCATTCAATTTCGTAATCTGAAACATTCAAAACTGAACATTTAAAAAATTCATTCATTCGCCAACCGAAACTTCTCGTAATTGCGCATGACTTTTAAGTGCTGCTTCAAATGTTTTGTTAGAGTACTGACCTTGTTGATCATGACAGTAGGGACGAAGCGGGACATTCTGATGCTGTAGCTCTTAGTTTCTGCCTCAAGTTGCAGACGATTTCCCTCCTCAGAACTCATACAGCCTTGGACGTCTTCCCAGTTCAGACCACTCTTGGTAGCACACTGAGGACAAATTAAAGATTTATAAAGTTGCCTTATAGTCTACAACTACTAATACCTGCTTCCAGCATTGATTTCACCATTGCTCGGTTGGTTGAAACGTTGAAAGTATTGTTTTTGTTGAGTTTTGGGTGGAAATATCCGTTTAGGATTCCCCTGAACATAAAAAAGTGGTTTTCAAAGTGATATGTGGGTATAGATTTTGATTAAATTTTGTATGTGGGAACCAACCTATGATATTTCCAGGCATTATATCATTTTTTAAAAACTTTTATTCTTAATGTTGATTTTTCATAAAAACCCATAAATTAACAGAAAAAACTGATTTTTACAAAGAAGTGTTGAACTTTGTTTAAAACGTTTTGCTGCTGAAATAGTACCACATTTTTAATTCATATGGACCGGCGACGCACATAGGCGACAGTTGGTTTCCACCCATAGACTGATGTCGCAAAATACTTTCTCCATATGCTATGCATAAGAGGAGAAAGTTAAATAGAATAAACTTACATCCTGTCCTCCAAAGTCAGGGTCGCCCATGAAGCAGCTGGCAAAGTCAAGTTGTTGACGGCCTGGAGACAATCTCGCTAGCGCACACGATAACACCATGTTGCCTCGACACTCTTTCTCTCCATGTTGGCAGACAAAACCATCCTCTGTGCTCTGAAAACACACTTTTGTAACTCAGGGAGAA